GCAGCTGCTGGGTTTGAACCACAGGCCTTTCAGTTAGCAGCCACGCACCTAACCACTGTGCCACCAGAGCCCTACCCACCTACAAAGCTCCCCAAAATAACTATCAGTCCTTGTGGGAAGACACCTGGAGGCCGGAGCCCCACACTGCCCTGAGAGTGGTCCAGCTGTTAGGAGGGCTGGAGTCTGGCCTGGGAGCACAGGCCAGGCCTGGCCGAGAAAGAGGGTCCCTCTGGACATGAAAGGATGGCCCAGGGCCTGCTCATGGGCAGGCAGAGAGGCGCTGGGCAGGGGGCAGTGCTCCTGGGTCACCCGTCTGGGCAACCTTCCAGCGGCAGCAGCTAATGTTAGAACACCACCAGGAAGTACCCGCTGGGCACAGGGGAGCAGCCGGTGGAGCGGGAAAGGGGAACTGGACACCGGTTGTGCAAGGCCAGCTGTAGGCACACAGCGTCTTCCCAGGCCCAGCGGCCGGCCCGGCAGGGGAAGGAAACGCTGGGCGGGGTCGGCCCTTTCCCTCCTCCCTCCTTCACCTCTCTCGGGAGTCAGGACAGTCACACTGTCACAGACATTCAGTTTTTAAAAAATGGAAAACAAGCAAACAATTACATGCACCCCTGCCCAGAGGGCAGGGAGGGAGGCTGGGATAGCTCCCTCCTCGCCAGGCCTACACCCCAAGGAACACCTCTGCTTCCAAGGATCCCGGTGACTTCTGCTGACAGGTTTAGACTTCCCCTCGATGGGGGTCCAAGGCTGCTGGGCCTCTGGGCCTGACCTGTCACCCCAAGCGGCTGTGGCGATTCATCCCCAACCTCCCACAGTCGTGTCTTTTTTAATCTTGGCCCCCACTTCTGTTATCTTCTGAGTGTGATTAGAAAACAAAAGAGAAATTCTTTTTCCGTCTTTCCTGTTGTTATCTTGATGGCATTTATGCAAGGATGATGTTACCAGTTTCGGAAGCCAACCCAAAACCCCCTCGACTTCCTCTGAGCTTCTGCCGGCTGCGCAGAACAAACCCAGCGTGTCAGGTTATCTCACATCCTCCCTCAGGGATGCCACCACAAGACGGGGACGATCTGGGGTCCCTTTTGGACTATTTACAGCAAGTGTCTCACTGAGACTTGGCGGAGCCCAGAGGTGGCCAGGGCTGGATCCTGGGGCAGAAGGCACGAGGCAGACTGGGAAGGGTCTGACTGGCAGTCTGTCCCGCCATGTCCCCAGCTGTGAGATCTAGGCACCCCTGGGTGCTCTGAGCCACCACTTCCTGTCTGCATGATGGGTAGAGAGTACCGTGACCCTGCCCCTCAGTAGAGCAGCGAGAGGCTCACAGGACAGCACGGTAACACCACACAGCTGGCACTCCGCCTCCCAACGCCTCCTGCTGCCCACACTGCGATTCCACCTCCCCGCCCAAGCAGACCCAGGCAGGGCCGGAAGCAGCCGACACTTGGTCAATGTGCAGTGACCCCAAAGGGAGTCGCACGCTCCCTGCTTCTTCCCCCCCATGCAACGACTCTCCCCAACTGAGAGTCAAGGGGGATGAGCCCAGAGCCCTGGGCCAGGTGGTTCTGGGCCTGGAGTGGCCCATCAGGAGAAGCAGCAGGAAAAGGATACTTCTCAGAGGAAGGGAGAGCTCGAGAGGAAAGCAGAGATCACCATCTGTGGAGCACCAAGAGTCTGGGCAAGGGACACAGACAAGGAGCCCTTCCAGCAAGCCCGCTTTCTCTCCCTTGACTCTCCCCCCTTCTCTTCTAGAGGCCGGCTCTCCCTGCCCGGCCACAACTGGATAGTCATGCTTCTCTGGCAAGGCCTCAGGCCTGTCTCTCCCAGGAGTAGCTCAGCTGATCACAGGCCCCCATGCGGGGACTGGCTCCGTGGCCCACCTCGGCTGGCCATGGGCCCCCATGCAGGATATCGGCTCCATGGCCCAGCTTGGCTGACCATGGGCCCCATGTGGGAATCGGCTCTGTGACCCACCTTGGCTGGCCAGGGGCCCCCATGCGGGATATCGGCTCCGTGGCCCAGCTCGGCTGACCACGGGCCCCATGCGGGAATCGACTCCGTGGCCCAGCTCGGCTGACCACGGGCCCCCATGCGGGATATCGGCTCCGTGGCCCAGCTCAGCTGACCACGGGCCCCCATGCTGGAATCGGCTCCGTGGCCCAGCTTGGCTGACCATGGGCCCCCACGCAGGATATTGGCTCTATGCCCCAGCTCGGCTGACCACGGGCCCCACGTGGGATATCAGCTCCGTGGCCCAGCTCGGCTGACCACGGGCCCCCACGCCGGAATCGGCTCCGTGGCCCAGCTCGGCTGACCACCGGCCCCATGTGGGAATCGGCTCCTAGCCAGCCTGCCCGGAGAAAGGAAACAGCATGGTAGCAGCCACTGAGACCGATGGCACAGCTGGAACCGGGGAGAGGTCCTCGCTCAGGACCTCTGATGGCTCCTCACCCGTGCGGTCATTCCTTTCTGGTCAGAGCTACTCTGGAGGTGTTCTCCAGATACCACCAGGGAAAAAAGCCACCAACAATGGAAAACAGAGCCACTCCTATGTGCACCCACTCAGCCATGCACTTGACCACCAGCCACAGAGGGACTGAAAGAATGGTGAATAAGAAAGCAGACGAGCCAAGAAGAAGCTGGGCTACGGGAATTCCTACCTTCACTCACTCTACAAATGCTCACAGAGCACCAACCACATGCCCGACCCTATTTTTAGGCTCTGAGTATTCAGCAATGGGCAGAAGAGATCACACTTCTTGGCTTCAGGAAGCTCACGTTCTAGTGTGGGGAGTCATTCAAAAAACAAGACAAATAGGTACAATTCTGAAAGTGCTAAGGGCCTAAGGGGGAAAATGTTAGAGAAATGAGACAGAATGTATGTGTTGGAAGGAGAGTGGAATTAAATTTTAGGCCAAAAGGCCAGAAAAGGAAGGGAGGGAGAGAGTTGCAGGCCGGGGAGGAAGTGCAAAGGCCCTGGGCAGGCTCGTGCCTGGCGTGTTTGAGCAAGAACGCCAGTGTGGCTGGAACAGAGGGAAGGGTGAGAGGAGGAGAGGTGCGAACAGAGAGCTGGGCCAGACCCCACGGGGCCTTGAACATCCTAGAAAGGACTTTGGCGTTTGCTCTGCATGAGACGAGAAGCCAGAGGAAGGGTCTGAGCAGAGGAGGGACAGGGTTTCCTCAGGCCACTAGGCAGAGATGAGGCTAGAGGGCAGAAGGAGGGGGACCAGCTACTACAAGAATCCAGGGGAGAGACAGCATAGGTTGGACCGCGGTGGTGGCAGAGGGGATGGTGAGAAATAATCAAATTCTGGGGAATCCTGATCTATAATTCAGTATATCAAATGCAAATGGAAAGAAGCAGTGATGGGCAGAAGATGGGATGGCCTGCCACTTGCTACAGGGATCAAGGGTGCTGTCAACCAAACGCGTCCTGGTGCCTGTTCTCGGCGGTGCACTGGCAGAGCTGGGAGACAGGGACGAGTTAGCTGGGCCCCTGCTCTTGGAGCTGGTGGGGACAGGCACTTGGGCCGCCATGCAGGACCCACGGGCCATGAGCAGAGCAGCACTGCTGCCAGGTTTCTCTGGTGAAGGCAGGAGAGACAGAGGCAGGGAGCGCCACGGTGACGCCTGCTTGTCCAGGGGAGAGGGCTGGCCACAGGTGCCAGAAGTGAAGCCAGTGTGAGGGGGCAGGGCAGAGCGAGAAGTCAGCTACAGCCCTGCTCCAGGCTCCACTGTGTCCGTGAAATGAAGCGGAGGGTGGACCCGACCACTTCCATGTCCCTTCCTACTCACCCTCCGGGGCCAAGCCCAGCATCCCTGCTCTGCAAGGTTGTCCCTGACGTGCTGCAGTCAAGCCAGCCCTCGCTCCTCTATGCACCCCTACACTTCCCCTGGCCTTCAGGTATGAGCGATGGTAACGGGAGCCGGGAGCGTTACTGCACCCACGTTCGCCCAGACTGCCCGCCCTCTAGACTGGGGGTGTATCAGGGCAAGAAGGGCCAGCCCCACTCTGACCAGCTTGTTCCCTGACTCCATGAAGCTCAGTGCCCGGCACACTGGGGAGCTCTGGAAAGGTCTGTGGGGTAAAGGCGGGTCTCGGGGGCTTCCCCAGGCCTGTCTGCTCTTGATCTGGTTTGCGCTGGCATGAACCAGGGACAGGAGCCCGCCAAGCGGACTTGGTGTGGGTTCTCGTGAGGTGGCTGTGAAGGACGCCAGGTGGGGTGCTGGGCAACGTGATCCCGGGCGGCCAGCCCCACGCTGACCACAGAAGCTGCAGCCAGTTCTGGGGACTTACCCACAAGCAAAAGTCCTCCAAAGGATGGTTTATGCCCGTGCATGGGTTCTTCCTGCTCCTTCTAGGAGCACAGCCTCCTTCCTTCTGAGGAATTCAGCTTGGAAGGGGCTAGGGCTGTGATGGGACTCAGCTGTTTGCAGTTGTTTTGCTCACGGTCTGGGAAGGCTGAGTTACTGCCTCCCTGACCCCACCCACCTCTCCACGCGCCGTGGGCAGCCTTGGCACAGGGCGGCGGAGGGCAGGCTGTCCCCAGGCCGGCCACCTCGCCCAGCTGCACCTTCTCCCCATCGTCTCCCACTCTTGACATTCCTGGGGTGCAGCTAGCTCTCCACCTCCCTGTGGAGGTGTGGCCTTGTCTCGGCCCCCAACACAGGCACCACCCCCATCTGGAAGCAGCCCCCCCTTTCCGGGCGGAGACGCACAGGAATGCTGGCCTCGGGCTGGCAGAGGCGGCAGAGCCGAGCCGGGTATTGTTTACGGGGTGGCGAGTTCTCCTCCTCACTCACCAGTGACCTCTACTCTGGGCCCGCTGCCTCCTTCTCAAGTATTTATCATCTGTCCTCTTGCCCGCCTGGGACATCTCCCGAGCTCTACTCTCGGGCGCAGAGACCTTGACATGCCCAGCGGACACTCAGTCCAGGGCCCCACTTGGACATCGGGCTTCACAAAGGTCCCCAAAGAAACGAAGCTCTCCAGTCCTTACCAGCTCAGGGCTGAAGCTCCTGCACGCTATGAAGTCAGCTCCCTGGTTGTTGAGACCTTTACTCAGGATCCTCACCATGGTAAGGACCTCAGGGGCTGGGCTCCAGCCCAGGGTGGGCACGAGCCATCATCGGGTGGGCAGACGTGGGCAAGGGCTACGTCCTGGACACCTCCCAGGCACCTGGCATCAGCAGAAACAACTCCCCACTGGCCTCGCACCCTCGGGGTGGGGCCCTTCCAGAAACTGGCCAAGCGTCGTTAAGTCCCTGGAAAGACAAAAGAAAGGCAAAGGACTTGAGGACAAGGAAACCCCAAGGCCTCAGAGAGCCGCCCACTCCCTTGGCGCTGGCCTGCTCCTGGTGAAAGGAGACGCCATCTGGGGGGGCCAGGAAGGCCCAGGACGGCTTCTCAGGGTGCCCATCCCCAGGGGGTGTCCCTGAGCAAATACCCCAGAGCGCGGAACATGAATCTGGGCGCGGCCACTTGGTACCTTAAACCTCTAAGGTCTCTCAGGGTCCGGGTTGCTAACAACCTGCAATCCCTGACGTGTGCCCGAGTCATGTGACATCTTGTCACTGAACTGGCTTTGCAGGCAGCTGCAGCACACCCCAGGGCACACCGCTGTAGGCTGAGGGCGGAACACGTGTCCTCCCCATCTTCAAAATGGAAGGGACGACCCTCGGGCAGCCAAGTGGCACCCGGGACCCACAGCAGCGTGCTGGAGCCCCTTCTTTACCCAGCAATGAACAGAAGCTACAGGGAGAATTAACCAGGGAAAACCAACTGCCATCAAGTCGACTCCGATGCGTGGCGACCCCATGCGTATCAGAGTAGAACTGTGCTCCAGAGGGTTTTCAATGGCTGAAAGATCAGAAGCAGATCTCCAGGCCTTTCTTTCAAGGCACTTCTGGGTGGACTCGAACCTCCAACCGTTCTGTTAGCATTAACCATTTATACTACCCAGGGCCTCCACAGGGTGAATTAGGAAGGACCATTTAAAGGCACACATTTCCCACCCTTGGAAGTATGACATTTCAACAATGGATCTGCAGCCCTGGAGAGTCTTCATAGCTTTGTCCCCTCCCCAGAAATGAACCAAATCAAGCCCAGCACCTTTGTGGGGGCTGCCCACCCCCCTCAGTCTGAGCTCCCACAAGGGATAAGGCCCCCTCGGCCCCTTACTCTGCACAGCCCATCGGCACCTCCTCCCCAGTTCCCAGCATTCTCCCGATGCAAACACAGAAAGCCGGTACAGAGCCTTCAGTTCAGGTGGGAAGCCCACTCCTCACACGTGACCTTCTCTGGGCCTAGTTCCCATCCCAGCCCTCTGTGGTTAGAGCTTCTGGGAAAGTCACATTGATACAGGGAGCCTGCAGGTCACCCTCAAGGAGAAACAAATAATAACGATGCTGATAAGTAACTAGCAAGGCAAGCGCCTCATCTGCCATTCAACACACACCGCTCCGGGAGGGAGAATGGTGCGGAATCTGCTGCTCTGTGTAAAAATTAATTGCACCCTGGTATTTACTTGCCATCCAGATTGTAAATCATATTTTCCTGTTTACTTCGATCAGACTTTGCAGTGGGTGTTATCGAAATTGCTGAATTACGGGCCAGCTGGCAAGCACAGGAAAATTACCTTCTACCGTTCTTCGAAAACAAGGTTCATCCAAAGTGCAAACGCAGGGAAGGGGAGGGGGAAATCAATACATTGTCAAAGGACTGACTGTTGGGGCAGGAAGGCTGGGGGAGGCGAAGGTTCCCAGGCCACACCAGGGACCTGAGGCCCAGCGCCAGTCCCGCTATGTCTACAAGTGACACATGTGACCAAGTGCAACCTGCTCAAGGGAGAAGTCTAGGACGCTCCTCAGAGTTCCGGCCAGCGACACCCGCCCGCCCGCCAGGGCAGCGCACCAGAAGAGGTACTCTGGACTCAGCCCTTCAAAGGGGCGCTTTGTGCCACCTCGGTGGCCGTGGGAAGCCTCGGAGTCACTATCTTCTCTCTGTGTGCAGGCCTCAATTCAGTTCAGAGGGCAGCCGGCCACTGGCCCGGGGGCTGGGGTGACCACCGTCCCCCTCCTGCTTCTCTAAAGAGGCACAAGCCCAGGTCTCCGAGTCAAACACACATGAGCTGGAATCCGAGGTTTTGAATTAGCTGGTGACCTTTGTCAAGTTACCTCCACTCTGAGCCTCAGTTTCCCTCTCTGTAAAATAGGGACCACAGTACCTGCCTCACACTGATAATAGGGCAGGTCGAGACCTTTGCATGGAGCCCAGCTCCTCTAAGTAAGTGCTCAACAGATAGCAGCTCCTGTTATCCATTCCACGGGGGAGTCTGTGGGTCCAGATACTTTTATTAGCAATGAATGCATAAGCATCTGTCCACTCAGTACTTTTTTAAATGGAAACAAGCTAAATTCCATCCCAAGGGGACTGGCTGTATTAGGCCCATCCTTCTGGTGGCCTACTGGATGGTCAGGAAGAATAATGCTGTGTAAGTCTATTACCATGGAAACAGGTGACTCCCTCTAGACACAGTGCTGGGCACACAGCACGAAGCTGGCCTGAAGCAGTGGTGTGCAGCCTCCAGACTCTCGCTGGCTCCAACCCCAGCGCGTCCCCCACAAGTGACAGGGTGCACAGAGGCAGCCCGAGAGATGAATACCGGAAGCTGCTGGGCAGTTGGGGGCTGGCAAACATGCCAGGCACCAAAAAAGAGAAAGAAGGTACAGCATGGTTCTGGCTCGACTGCGGGGGTCACGGGACAGAGGATACACACACAATATATACTGAAGCCAGAGACAGAAGGCTGGACTCAGGGAGGCAGAGTGCAGCTGGGGCTTACAGAAGGCCCCTGGCCCCCAGGCCAAAGACAGGCAGCACCGCCTGCAAAAGCCCAGGACTGGGGATCACCTAGATGCCCACCCACAGGGGCATGAGAAAACAAATGACGGGGCAGCTAGGTAAGAGAACGCAATGTTGCCTGCAAAAAAAATTTGAATGCAGCTATCCTAATTGCATAGATATGATACAGTGTATCCAAGAGACGCTGTAAAGTGAATAAA